TCCTCCAGTCACATGATCCTTCAGAAATCATTCTAATATGCTGATTTGCTGCTCAACAAACATTTCTGATTATTATCAATGTTGAAAACAGTTGTGCTGCACAATATTGTTGTGGAAACCGTGATATATTCAAAAGTTTAGGGTAAGTGAGATTCAAAATATAGAAAGAAATTAGTACTTTTATTCAGCAAGGATGCATTAAATTGTTCAAAAGTGACCGTAAAGACATTTATAATGTTACAAAATATTCTATTTCAAATAAATGCTGTTCTATTGAACGTTCTATTCATCAAAGGATCTTAAAAAAATGTATCTCAGTGTCCACAAAAATATGAAGCATCTCAACTGTTTTCAACATTGATAATCAGAAATGTTTATCAAGCTTCAAATCAGCATATTAGACTGAATTCTGAAGGATCATGTGACACTGAAGACTGGAGGAATGATGCTGAAAATTCAGCTTTGATCACAGGAATAAATTACATTTTATCATACATTCAAGTAGAAAATAGCTATTTGAAATTCTAAAAAAATGTTTTACAATATTACTGTTTTTACTGTGTTTTTGATTAAATAAATGCGGGACTAAATAGACCCTCATGTTGATCCAAAGCTTTATTTTGTTATTATTTCCGATATTCACTGAAAATCTTCCTCCACACTAGCATAGAGGTTTGAAACGACATGATAGTGAGTAAAAAATAACAAAATGCTCATTTTCAGGTGAACTATGTTCAGTAATCAGTCACACCAAGGCCACTCGAGTCTTTATCTGGAGACACATTGGAACAAGGAAGTGGTAAATTGGCCAGTCTTATTGGCATTTTCCAACGGAAAGGTTCAAGTGCGAAGAGATGTGATAAAACAGCATTGCTACCTTACATTACCCCGACTGGATATCTGACTCCTGGGAGAGAGAGCAAGCGGAGAAGGAGAGCAGTGAGGGCGAACAAAGCTGTGCATCCAAGCCAAGAGCAGATCAGCAGCGGGTTTGAACTGATGCCCAGACTTCTCACACACCTCAGGCCTCTCTCGTTTCAATGTGTCTCCAGTGAAAGCAGAGGGAAAAAAGCAGCAGAACATATACACTCTTCCTGACCAGAGCTTTGTGTGGGCCATTGAAACCGTCGTTGTGTGTTTTTCCCAATGCTTTGTCTCTCATGTTTGGTTTTCGTTGGTCACATCCAAGAGCTTCCAAGGAAACAATGATTGTATATCAAAGAGGAGCTTAGTGTGTTATAACGTTTAGTGCCTCTTGACCTCCTCTTTTATTTTTCTTCCTCCCAACAGATGAAAACTTTGTGTGTTTTACCAAGCATGAGCCCGTCGGTGTGTGCGGAGCAATTATTCCGGTGAGTTTGTGGCTATTTTTCATTTGTGGAGCATTTAACATCAATTCACAGTAGGCAAATCGGGAGGCACATCCCAATTTTTAATTCGTAATTAGTATTTTAGATATATATTTTTATTCCTATTACATTTTTATTTTTAATTATTGTTTAAAAAAAGTGTAAACGCCCACATATAATCCTCAAATCTTTGAATTCTCCAACTTTATTCAGAAGCCATAAAAATACAAAAGTGCTCAATGAAAAGATGAAACGTTCTCAATATCAAGTGCCCATATTTGTAATTATTAAAATTAATCAAATTTTTATTATATATTCTCAGTCTATCACTGTTGAGGAGTAACTAATATCAATGCAACTAACTATTTTCAGTAGTTTGTTTTTTAAAAGCGCATTTACATGAAGCATTAGTAAGACTGATTCATTTTAATGAGTCATTTAATTGAAAGGGTTAGTTTAAATGCACCTGTTCAATTAAATGATTTACTAAATCATTTAAGTCCATGTGCAGACATCTTTATTTTTTATTCTTGAATATGTATCGGTAAACAGTGATTTGATCATATTTATTACAATTATTTTATAAAATAATATAATTTTTATTATAATGTTTTTTTTTTACTCAATAAATAAACACTACCATTCAATAGTTTGATTTTAGGTTGGCAATATATTTGATCAAAAAATACAAAA